AAATAAGAAGAAAAAAATCTATGATCGTAAGAGTTTGCACGATAATATTAATTCGGACACATGTTTGTCATTCACACTTAATATTTAAAAAAGCAATAATGTTACCAATATTTTATTGTAATAGTATTAACGTTAGCGAAATATATATCGCATTCGCAAATATATTATAACATACCTGTTTTATATTACATGTAATAATAAATCCAATTCTGTTCAATTTACCGGCTTTATATTACACGTAAATCTAATTCTGTTCTTCAATTTACAACCGGGTCTAGCAATTAATTATTACAAGCCAATGGTGAACGTGTTACAAGGCTAAATTTGTCATTATTAAAATAACAATAGAGGTCATGAGAGTTACATATACAAATACTTTAACAGGATGGGTTATTGTGGTTAATGAGTCGAAATATGCTTAATATTAAATCAAAAAAATTTTCAAATATGACGGTCTAAATTTTTTGCAGGTCAAGGTTAGAATTTATGGATACAATCTGTTAGAAAATATTTCTATTTCAGAATGACCGAAAATAAAAAATTTTTCAATATTTAAATTATAAAAAACTATATTTAATAAAGAAAATTAATAGTATCTAATCAAATACGAAAATTTTTTATTTCCAATTATTTTGAACATAATTGTAATTACTCATTTTGACGATTTTTGCTCTCCAATAATTCTGTGCTTATTTGTTTTGTTTCACATGACTGTATACAGTATGTGTATGCGAATATTTAATATATAAATATTGCGATGTAGTTAAATTTTAATAAACGAAATTTATAAATACGAATTATCTTCAAGAATCTTACTCTATTATGGTTCAACACATAAATTGTAAAGTGATTGTCATTACTGATGATGGAGAATCATCATGTACTTTGGAGAATTTTGATAAATCAATGAAATTGGAAGAAGTGCGCAAACGTCTATTTTTTGATAAGAATGTGTTGATGGGTCAAAATGCAAATTTTTGTTATAAAGACAAGAATATAATACCTATTACTGCCGAAAACAATTACGCGCTTGAACTAATATTGATTCCACAAGATGATGCTTTCTACATAACTAAAGACCGATCAAAACCTAGTTTTCCGGAAATCGCACAACGACTTGATTTAGATAAGGGGCTTAAGAAACAAGAAGATGGCACTATAATTGCTGCAAGTGCGCCAGCATTTCGTATAAAAAATCTGCAGATGACGGATGTTACTATTGAGAATCACTTTGTGTCTATTAATGGGAAAACAAATAAAAGCTTTGAACAGATTTGGATAAAAAGTTTTGAGGAAAATTGTAGCACCTTAATAAATAATCATGAAAATCAAGAAACGTCTTTAAATGAACATGAGATTATGTATTATATGAAATGTTCTATTCGGTTATCATACTTAAAATTGGAACCTACTGAAGAGTACGTTGAAGCTATCAAAGATGCGCTAGACAAAAAATTAAGCAAAGCACAAAGAAGAAAGGAACTGAATAAAGTTGGTGAAACTTATGGCTTTTTTTTGTAAGTTTGGACAATACGATTTCTTTATATTGTCACTTATATTTTTGTATTAGTTTTTTTCAATCATTTTGATAGAATTATAAATGACAACATATTGTATTTATTAACCAATTGTGATAACCAACAGTGCGCAAGAAATTAAACTGGGAGGAAAATTCCACCGAATTGTTAGAAATCAAACGAAAGGAATTACGCAAAACCAGTTAAACAATCAAGATATTGATATAAGTGAGCTCGACAAACTTAAAGTATTAGGTGGTGATGTGTCAAAGATTGCAAGATATAATAATACGCCTGAATGGTTGGAATCCTTAAAGTCTTATGATAATTGTGAAATTATTTTGTATGATGATAAATTATCACTCTATGAGTTACTTCCAGAAAAATTGAAGTCAAAAGTAAGGAGAGTTAACAGTATGAAAGTATTTTATTCAAATATCTTGACAACTAATTATTTCAAAGGTCGTCTTATAACTAAAGTTCCCAAGCCACCAACTATTTCAACATTTAAGGGCTATAAAATATTTGCTTCAATTTTTAATGTAGCAGACAGAGAACCGGTAAACACATTTAGTATTAGGATCGATTATCAAGATTCGGATAATCCGTACTTTGTAATTCATTGCCTTGAACCAGTTGCAAAAAATTCGCCACCAATTAGTCTTTTAATACCTTGGATGGTTATTGGATATGAAGAAAACCTTCCGTCTGAACCATTTTCAATAAATTCTACTGACAACTACATAAAATATATTTGGACTAAAAACCATGACGATGCAGAAATAGAAATTCCAGGATTGATTACGCAGAAACATTGTTGGATAGGTACTTGTGTTTTACACTGTGATGAAAATCCAGGGTATGAGCTAGGAAAATCTGAAATAGCAACCAGTTATCATTTTTGCCAAAAAGGCAACTATATGTCTATATGTTGTAATCAACATGATATTTCAGCAAAGTCAACTAATTTAACAACTCGTAAATTAAAATTTAAAGTCAATTGCGCAATTATTTTTAATGCAAATGACCCTGCCGTATCTCGCCCTCTTATTATGGAACCAGAAGGACAAATTTGGGAAAGTAGAGAAAATATGAAACATCAAACAAAGAACAAAAATAATATTTTTACTATGCGTAGATGGTTATTGCCTAGAGATGAAAGACTCATATTTGCAAGTCTTTTTGGTTCAAATTCTTATAAATATCAGTGTCATCCTTTTTTTTTAAATATTAGTCGGGATTATTTTATTATTAAATCATTAGAAAATTTTGTCAATCAACAACCTATAAATCAAATTAATTATGTTGCTATGCCAAAAGTAGAAGATAATGAAAAAAAGGAACCAAAGGAAATATTTCAAGAGAACTCTCAACCTATTTCCAGTAATCATGATCATTTGGATCCAATCTTTACTGAAAACATAATAAAGTTTCTCAAATTAAAAAACGGTTTAATTGTTGACTCAAGAGACATATATACTGCAACAAATCATGCAATCAATTTTGAATCAATTGCCAAAAATATTAAAGGATGTTACATAAAAATATCATTACCGAAAGATAGAAATGATTTATATTTATTGAAGAATCATATAAATATTACTTCTTTCCAATTGTTACCTCAAAAATTGATTCAAATAATGTTAAAATCAAACAGTCTTAGTGATAATCTATGTTTTGATCATGTTCATTTTGAAGTTTATTATCCAAAAGTTGAATTGAATTTTAATAAAGAGACTATTAAGCCAGCAAAAGAGATAAAAAACGCTGTGGACAATGCGTTGAATAGTAATAAACCATATCAGGAATTGATTAAAGTATTCAAAACATTTGGCTTTTTAATATCTCAGAAGCTTATTCTTGGACAAAAATTATACAGAACATCAGTTAGGACACCGGATCTTGACGAACAGCGATTAAAAATAAAGAAAATTTTTTTTCAGAATTATTTATCGAATATAGAAGAACTTTTTGTTCTATGGGATTATCAGTATAAATTTGATGAAACATATTTAATGACAACAGAAGGAAAGTCAATCGAAAAAAATAATGTCGAAAAATGGGTAGCTGACAATTCTAAACAAGACTTTAAATTATTACGTATTATCAATCGAAGTAAATTTATACCATTGTATGAAATATTCGAAGAGCCAATTAGCGGTCAAATTAAAACAATTTTAGGAATAGACGATCTTCCAAAAATACTTATGACAGGAATTGTGCAGGTCACTAAAGATGTTAAATATTATCAAATAAACTTTTCATCGAATTTGGGAAGTAGTAATTACTATATTTTTGCAACATTGACCAGTTCTAATAAACAATCTTTTGATAAAACTATTGTGAACATACAATCTGAAAGTAAGAAAGGTTTTTTAGCAATAATTGAAAGTTTTGATGAAATCAAGTAAGTAATCACTTTTCTTTTTTAGCTTATTTAACGCAATAATTTAGTAATTATCTTTCTTTTAACAGATGTATAGATCCAACAGACTTGCAAATTATTTGGATGCTAATCGGGTTTCCAGATGAAATCAATTTTTACAGTATGCACACACGAGATTTATCACTACTAAGCATGGAGAATAAAGAAATAATTCTTGATGAAAATAACAACAAACGTGTAGTAATCAGTGTTCCAAAAAATTTACCGAAAGGCTCAATAATGGCTTTATCATTTGAATATCCCTTGTTCAGTAATGATTTAACCATTCGAGACGATAAAATTAGATTGGATATCGATTGCAGTCTATACGATGATGATTATTATTCCGAATATACAAAATCTGACAGTGAATCTGAGAACAATGAATCTGAAAGTGATAAATCTGAAGATGAATATTTAAGTGATAACTCAGAATATGAAATTACACATACGCTTCGATATTGTATATTTAATTTTGATAATGAATCTATAGAAGCTGATATTTCGACAAGCAAATGCAAAAATATCTATTTAAAAGCAATGGGCCTATTAATTCATTAACTACATTGCTAATTCTTTAACGATATATTTTCCATTTCCATAAAATAATTCAAATATCTAATTACAAAAATATAAATATCGAATATCACTTAAAACTAATATTTATAATTATATCTGCATATACTAATTATATTTATATCCTTCAATATATTAATAAATTACAAAGCAAAAATAATTGTATCGTAAAATCAGACCTCATTTTTATACAGTAGTCCCTCTGGGAAAACACTGAAATAAGAAATTTCTGGTTTGCTTTTAACGGATGAATAATCATTTAATATCTTAAAATGAAGATGGCCAGGAGAAACATTAATTATTCCATGGCATTCATCGTCATGACAATCTTTGTCAAAAGAATGATTTGCGAATATAGGCTTTTCATTGGGATTAATTCCATCTGTTTTCAAGTATAAAGTTCTTGATTTTGAAGCTATATTCTTACTTTTCCATTTGACTTTGTCATTAAAGTATTCAATAGGAACAAGTTGTTTTGTATAAATAGTACTAATAAATAAGAAACATAAGTTAGTCGATGAAAATGTTTAGTATGCTATTAAAAGAATGTATAGTATTAATTACCAAATAAATAATTTTAAATGTCGTAAAAGTGGTTCATCGTCTGCATTCAATTGCCTTTTGCGTATTTTCGAGCAGTAAGCAAATAAACACGCAGAATTTAGACGAAGGGAAAAATGTGACCCAACGACTAATTTAAAATCACGCACGTTTAATTGATTTGTATTATTTGAATTGTTGGTTGATGAAAACTCTGAAGTTGAACTTGTTTCTTCTTGTAAAGAATTTTCTACGTTATCCATAACACATGTAGATAATGAAAATTTTCCTAAGTTCAAATTAGTCATATGCGAAATATTATCAACAATATATTGATCATTCAATTCTCGTTTTTCACTTTCAATTATAATTTGATTTGATAATTCAAAGTCAAAAGTATCTGTTGGATATCCCACAATCATCCATCCAATTTGGATAATTATGCAATTTGGATTCGATTTTTTGGCAAGTTTTTTTTTCTTATTTGGAACACGACTAACAATAATTATTGGATTCTCGGGAGTATCATAAGCTACGCACGAAGAAAATATGTGCCTATCTTTTTTTTTCTTCAAAATCGTGGTAAATATTTGACATTCTTTTATATTGGGAATATCTTCTAATTGCTTGCCTATTCCGTGCGCATGTGGTTTCCTTTCACTCGTGAAATACTCAAATGTATCGATATTCGCTGATTTTTCAAGAATAAATGAATTAAATTTAATAATAAATTTAACGGTTTCGCTAATAATATTACCTTTTAAGACTCTTTTCCCCAAAATTTTCAGAATTTCTCTTTGCAAGTTATTCTCTAATAAATTAAATATAGAGAGTATTTCATGGTATTCAATTATTTCCCATTTCTCTTGATCTTGGATTGAATTTATCCAACCAGAAAGGTTGCAGGACTTATCTCCCCCTTTTATTACGTATCTAGATTTAATGCTTCTTGACTCCATAGCAGTGCTTGTTCCAGTTTCCAAGGTGGTGCCCGCCAATTGAGATTTGATATGAAATGATTTAACTGATTCTTTATGTTCTATATGTTCATATTTATTTTAAAAGAGCGTTATTAATATTTAAGCAATCCATATTTGAGCATTAATATGGGAGTGTATAACATACTTGAATACTTTGTGTCTTCAATTTGTTGAACGATAACACCTCCAAAGTTTACTGAACTTGCGTAAAAATAGCCATACTTTTCTGCTATATTTTTAAGATTTTTTACTTTTTCTGCTTGATTCCCTTTGCTTAATGCCTTTTTAACATCATCAACAAATTCACCAGCTACTGAAATTTTGCTCCTTGAAATATTTACACTCATTCGCCTCAACTTAATGTATGAATATTTTATAGTTTTATAATTTTCTGGTTTTTTATACGAGGAACTGTAGCTGGCTTTCATAAAAATGGAAGCCCATGGTAGAATAGACGTTGTACCAAATGTAATAAAGTTTCGTTTATATAATTCTTGAAATTCATTTTTACATTCGAATAAATCTTCCTCACATTTATCCTCAAAACTGTGACATTCTGGTGTTTCTTCGATTGTAAATGCACGATATTTTGCTCGTTCGACTGAACCATCCTTCATTATAAATCCATACCCACATTTATTAGTCAACTTTATTAGGTCATGTTCATGTTCTCGATAAATATTTAAGACATCATCGCCATTTTCAATTGATAAAATATCCTCTAGCTTTAAATTATTTTCATTGCATCTAACAATGCGTGCCTTTTTTTGATCTAGAAAATAACAATCCGAACACATATATAACTGAGTTTGTTCTTTCCAAGTGCTCTCAAGTTCTTCTCGAATTTCTGAAAGACTTTTTCCTTTATCTAAATCATATATAAGTGGTTGACTGGAAGTTTTACTATGACTACTGTAAATTATGACCTTTCCCTTTTGTGAAGTTGAAATATATAACTCGTTGCCATTTACCAAAATTTCTTCTAACTTTCTAACATCCTCTTGGCATTCTTTAACGATGGTTCCATTCTGCCATCTGAACTTGAAGCCATTAACAATTTCTTCATGTTCACTGTTTTCAGTGAATATTTTGCGAATATCTTTTAGTTTATCCTTAGGATCTAAGAATGGAAGCAACATTTTGCCATCCTTATTATCTAAATAAACATTTATTTCTTTTAACAGATTTTCGACACATATATATTTATTAGGTTTACAGAGTTTATTTATTGTATAATTAGGTTCATCCTCATGGAGTATCCAACTTCCATCATATTTAAATAAAAGCTTTTCCGCTTTCCATTCATCTCGATATTCTGCTAACTCCTTCCGCACATCTTCAAGTTTTACATCCAATTTAAATTTTTTATTAATCGATATATTATCATCAATTTTAAAACTAAAATATTTTTCTTCTTCGTTATCTCCAAATATTTTTGAGAATATATTCTTGTTCATTGTTGTAGACTGGTTACTGTACAGAATACCTAATAAGCAAATAGACGTATAACACTAAGGTCATTCTCCAAAATAAAAAAATTTACACATACAACCACATTTGGATATTTTTAGTTGTCGCATGACCACCTAATGTTTAATTTTAAAAAGTTTATTCTTTGTTTATATTATACTTTCAAATTACAAAATTTGGAGTTAGATTGGATGACAAGAGTTACGCACTGAGACACAACCTAAGTACTAAGAACGAATAGTATTTCTATTAGTAAATCATCTTGGGATCTTTTGCAGTATGGGTGACACCTATTCTAGATCAATTGATTAATAATGCGTGTTATTAGTGATGTCTTCTATACTGCAAAAGATCTCATCTTGCTCATTTCTTTAATATTTTCAAATTGATCATAGGGATCTAAGATAATAGATATTCATTTTCACTGAATAATTCTAATAATCGCTAATGTTTAATTCATCATATCTAATTTACTATTCCTATTCCATAACATATATCCCTTCAGAATAATTTATAAGAGTAGCTTTTTCAAAATGTTTTAACGGTTTTATACACAAATATCGCATTATGTATTTCTTAAATATGTCTTATTCTGGCATTTTTAGATATTGTCTGAAAACTTTTTTTAATTTCAAATCACTATTTTAACATTAATTGCCATTAATTGACATTATTTATTGTTACATTGTATGCAAACCTTAAATTCATTTACTGATACTAAGCTTGTTTACCAAAACATTAATCTTATGAATTTTTAAAATAATTACACCCAAATTGTGTAATTACAAAATGTATACGTATATTTATTAAATAATTATGCAAGAATTCTAGTTTTATGGTTAAATAAGAATAACTTTGTGTGCCTATTTTTATAAACGTAATCCTGCTATTTACATAACTTCATATTCACACTTAAATATGAGTGCGTGAGAGTGAAACCCTGAAAATAGATTTAATGATTTACAATGATTGAGTTACAGATTTTCACTCTCATACGCTCATATGAAATAATTGGAATCGCAAATAATATATTCACATATAAAGCATATAGCTTTGTCTTAAGTTTTGTCTAAATTTGTTTAATTATTAAGTTATTATTGCCTTTCATATTTGTGCTGTTGTATTTAAATTATTGTACTTTTAACAGTATTATTCAAATAAAATTCAGCAAACTTTGCTTTAGCAACCCTTCCAGGATGTAATTGCTTAAGAGCTTCTTTTTTATCGTGCTTTTCAAATTACTGTGATCAGCAGATGATCATCCATCACACGGAAATCCGTAAAATTCATTATTTTTTAAAAAATTTCCATCTGAAAAGTTAGAATTCCAAAAATTCCTTGTCAAATTCCGATTTTTTAGTATATCATCCATTAGTGTACTATATTTTGAAGTGGTCGGATCAAAGAATACTAAAATTTTTTGGTTTTCTTTATTAAATTTTCTCAAACTTCAAGTGAATCTATCTTGATAATAGCTGGTCGTTTTCGATATTCAAAGCCATTTTCAAATTCGGTAGGTTTGTAGGATTCGAAAATGGTCTTAAATATTGAAATTGACTGTGCCATTGTTGAGAAATCTTCAATCAAACTTTTAATAATTTTTAATATTAGAATTTTATACATATTCACAATACATTTGGCTGGTATAATTTTCAGCCAATCACAAGCTTGCATTTTACTAAAATCCTGATTCCCAGATTTTCCGTAATGTGTGATGCATGAATTTTGCTGATCACAGTAATTTTTTTTTTTACCTCCCTCCGCATCTCAAAGGTCCTTAGACACCTTCGGATCTCTCACATCTCTCAAAAGCCAGAGTTTTCATATCTGTGAAGATCACCAGTATGACGAATTGGCCACCTATATGTCACCATACTGGTGAGATATCTCATGCTCGGTTAAGTACATCATATGACATCCTGGGTCTCTGGTGCCACGGTGTAGGATTTACATTCTCTAGATCTGCAGTTCTCTAACTTCACATAACCCACATGCTGAATCGTCCTTTTATATATTCTTAAGCTAGGTTTTTCTTAATTTTAGTGTCATTTGTTGATGGATTATGTCTTATCTGGTCATCCTCGGCTATTGTGGCTATGCCAACAGACTGCAACTTGTACAAGTCCTGTTCTTTATTTTTTAATGAATAATTCTCCAAAGATTTTAGCCAATCATGGTCCTGGCAGAGCCATTCATTACCCAGTAAAACTCGAACTCGCGACCTTGTGATTGTGACCTGGGAGTGCTAACCACTGCACTATCGACCCATGGGTCTGTTGATTACAGTAATTTGAAAAGCACTGTAATACCAGATATAGTTCAAAATAGTTATATTGGCTTTTTTATTCTAAAATCTGCTATTATTAATATAGTTGAATGCTAGTTACTACTAGAAGGTCAATAGGTTTTGCTTTTTTTCTTTTTTAATTTTTGATTTCTTGTTTATATAGTCAGATTTTTCTACAGATTTATTTTGAAGCAGAATTTTGACTTTATTAAGATTATTATTATCCTTTATTGCCTCTTTGCTAAATAGGCTTTTTACTGAAGAATTTTAGTAATTAAATTTGAAGGTGATTATACTATATATTAATTTTTATGTAATATAATGCATTTTTAAATAAAAAAAATTCTTCCTTACTATATTTCTGTGCTGAGTTTTAAGTGCAAAAAAACTTTTGTTGAGTACTATAATTAACAATTCATTATTTTACTAACTAATTAAGGCTTAAAAACAGAAGGATTATCAAAATTAATATACAAAACTGTGTCGAGATTCAAATTTATTGCTTAGTATTATATTCTTTTTTTTATCTAATATACCACAGCTACACTAACTACTGGCAACTTTCTTGTCTTTTAGATATTGTTTGCTTTAAATTCTTATTTTACTAAATCCAATCTTCTTATTCGGTCATAAGTTTTAGTAGCAAATATAGAAATCTTGACATAATTTATTTCTTTAGTCAAATTTCTTAAGCTAAAGAATTTCTATTACTTATAATAGCTATTAAGTTTTTTGATCTAAACTATTATACTGATCAAGATTATTTGATACATCAAGAAGACTTTTATTAGCTTTCTTCTTGTTACTCTTATAAACATAACCATAATCTATCATAATAACATCATCCTCTATAGACATATTACTCTTTCATATTTATTATTATACTATATTATTAACAGCTATTATAATCTTGATTATTATTGTTTATCAATATCAACTATATTTCTTTGTATAATATTATTAATACTGTTAAATATATTTATTTGTTTATTTGTATAATTTAATTATTTCATTTGTTAGTGTTTTTGCTTATTCATTTATTTAATTAAATTGTTTCTTTCCTTAATATTTTAGCCTCAATATTGACAGAAATAATTAAATCCCAATTTTTTAACTCAACACAATGTAAACTCAGTTTTTGTTTACTTATGTAATTTTAGCTCAACACAATATGAATT